TATTGAATGCCGACTAACTTCATGACGCGCACAGGCATAGAACACTTGGCTAGCGGATAACCTTCGTAGTAGTGGAAGCGACCCTGCATGGCCACCACAGGCATGCCTTCTAGATAGCCAAAAATCATGCGACCCACATGACCCTCAACTGTAGAGACAGGAAAATGCGGGATGTCCTTGTAGTCGAAAGCTTGCGTGTCTGTGATGTGATCGGCCATAGAGTTTAGACCCGAACCGCAAATTATGCCAACCTTGGGACGAATGTCGGTGCGCTCCAATAAGAAATCAGCGATCTCTTTAATTAATTCGTAGGAGTAACTGAAAAGAGAAAAAAGGGGTAAAATAAATATCGTGTGTTGTATAATATATATTTAACGATAATAGGAAAATAGAACAGAAACCTTAATGCAATGGCCGTTGGATGATACTGATGGTTCATCATTTTTGGGATGACAGACAATATTGGTGCCAATTGGAGATGTAGTTATATGCGAAAATAGATATGTAAATAATCATACACAAATTTCTTTACGACCCTACTCTTTCCACGTTCAATGCCAAGTAAGTATTTGCAGGCAATTTGAAAAATAAAAATTATGCTTTTTTGCTATCTGAAGAATCTTATTGAAAAGGTGAAAAACATCCGTTCAAAAAGAAAACAAGTTTTTATCACGATAAGGGCCGTTTTCACAGTGGAGAACTAACTTACATGCAGCAATTAAATAGCGATCGATTTTTAGTGCACAAATTTAAAGATAACTTTCGAATGATTTTGTATTTTCATCTCGAGCGCACGCATACCATCACTCAGTATTCGTAAACAAGTGTGGAAACATAATTTGTTTCTATACTAACCCTGTCGAAAATCGAGTATAGAATTCTTAAATAACTCATTAGTGTCGTAGTTCCATTGCAATGAATGGATTTTGTAGAATACAAATATATCCGTATTTTGGCAGTCTATATATATTGAGCGTGAAAAATAAGTATAAGACGATTTTATTTATTAACCGACTTCACAAAAAGGAGAAGGTTATCAGTTCATCGGAATATATATTTTTTTTTATGAATGTTACCGCATAACTTTCGACCACGTTAACCGATTTCGATAATTCTTTTTTTAAAGGAAAGGTGTCACAGGTGGTTTAAATCCGATCATTGGATCATAAAAAATTAACGATAAGCTTAAATTTTTATATACGAATTGAATTGGGTTTTGTTTTTTGCTTAAAAATTGCTTGTTTTACAATTTGCTTAATCTAAGTTTAAACTGACACGGAAATACTGGCTCTTAGAGTATTTTTGGTTTGAAAGTTTTGCCAGCTATCTAAAATTTAGATTCAATTCAAGCCATTACATTTATGTACATAAATATATATTTTACTTAACTCTATTACTTTCTTTTTTATTTTATTACACATTATATTTTTTATTACTTTAATTTTTAGAGTTTAATTTATTAAAAAAGTCCACATCAACTAACAACAGAAAGAAGTAAAAGTTATAATTGAATAAAATTCGATGCTGATGTGCAGACAATTTTTCAAATTTCAAATTGATTTATTATAAAGCGAAAAAATCAATTCAATAGTGATACCAATACCAATGCCGAACATGTACATGGTTGGGGCGGAAATGCCTCCTAAATGTATGCTTTAATATTGATACTGAATTACAGAAACGTGCTAAGCAGCAGTTTGGGAATCAGATCTATGTAGATTAAGATTCATGCAAGGAAGAAGGTAATGCTGAGTATGTAGAAGAAGAAAGGGATAAAGGCAAAGATTAAAATAAAAGTAAAGAAACCTAAATATAAAGACAAAGAGGAAGGAAAATTTAAACACCTAACCTAATAGCAATAGTGGGTGTGAATATGTAAATGAAGATATAGATCAGGGTAAAGGAACAGATAAAGACGAAGACGAAGACGAAAATGAAGATGAAGATGAAGATGAAGATGAAGATGAAGATGAAGATGAA